GGGCCCATGTTACGTCGGTTTCAACTTACGACGATTTTTTATTATTAAAAAAACCCCCGACTTACGTCAGGGTTTCATGATACGACAGCTTCTGAGGTTCTTCAGCTCCCTCCCACCAACCGTTTTTTTTGTGCCATGCATGTACCAGCAGTTTTCCTGAGAGGAAGTGAGTATTTTTTGTGCCAATTATTGCTGAATAACTGTTTTTAGGAGGGATTTTGAATTTTGTGTGTTCTGTGCTGCCCTGTGCATTTCATTATAGCTGAATAATTTTGTTTAGGAGGAATTTAATAATTTGACAGAAAATTATCCATTCTTACAATTTTAAAACTCAACTAAATGTTTATTCCAGGCATTTAAAATTTTGAGTGTGTGAACCAAGCCCTCCATCTGTTGAGATGGCACCTAAGAAAGTTAAAAAAGTAATAACTATCCAATTGAAAAAAGAAAGGTGTAAAGAAGATGAGAAAAAAAGTTGTGAAAAGTGCTCAAAATTGTGAAAATCATTCTCCGCCCCTATTTCACTACCTTACCCCCTATCACTTTTGTTTTATTCAGTCTTTCAAACATGTCTTTTGTCTATTAAAGCAATTTCTGACAAAAATTTGATATATAAAGGTAATTTTATTTTAAATTTTTTTTTCTGGAACGAATTAATTTTTTTATAATGTAACCTTAAGGGAAATAGGGTTTCAACTTATGACGGCCCCATGTTACGACGTCCATCCTGGAACGGATTGATGACGTAAGATGGGGGCCCACTGTATACCCCTCAGTTATTGAACATGATATGGACAATTTGAGACAGGGTCATTTAGAAACAGGGAAAATTTGAGACAGGGACTGTTAAGTATATGAGTACATGTTTACTTGTTACTTGCTTTTTGGACTCATTCTGAAATCAAATGATAATATTTTGTGCAGGTTACCTCTGTCAATATTTTGCCAATAAGAAAAATTAAAAGGATGTACTGAAATGCAAATGTTAGTCTCTTGAATCCAGTGCTCCTGTCACACTAACTTTGTAAACTCTTGTGCATTTTCAATTTTTACAGTTTTGTAAAACATCTGCCACTTCCTCCAAATTTGTGAATCATATTTTCTCTTCTGGTTTTTTGTTGTGATGAATTGTCATCCTGTGCCTTCATCTGGGCTTCTGAGTCACTCAAATGAATTGCTTCACAGAAGACAAGTAAGTTAGGTAAAGTCAGCAGAAAACATAGGGCACATGCAAAAACATTGTTTTGTTACAGTGTCAAAAGTCATTGTTGATTTTTCTCTGTCTTTACTGAAATTTCTGGAAATTTGATTGTATCTGTGCAGCAATTTTTAAAAAGACTGGAAGTCAAACTAATGGATCCCAAAAACTAAACTTTACTGTCAAAATAAATGAGATGACTGTAGAAGCAATAAAGAAATTTATTATTCCTAAAAATTGGAGTGAAGCCTTTTTTTTATTCTTCATTTTCTCCTTTTGTAAGTACATTAGTTTCATTGACAAAAACATGTTATTTTGCCAGTGAAGTATACGGTAAAATCAGGTTTGTTTAAAAATACTTGTTAGTGATTAAACTTCCATCTGGAACATACTGTATCATGTTTGAATTTTAGAAGCACATGCAAAAATATTTGATTTTGATTACATTTTCAAAAGTTATTGTCCCCATCTTGTATATTTCACAGAATTTCATAACATGCAAACACCTCTTCCTTATCAATCAACATGAAGTATCCGATTTTGAGTTTTTGAATAAGATTGCATTTTCGAAATTTTGATTTTTTTCCACCAGGAACAGGAAACTGAAAAAGTGAAATTTTATGTACAGTGACCCAAAATATTAATTAAAAAGGGTTAGTTTTGCATGACTATAAAACTCAGATAATCATCTTTTTGAATATGCTGATCAATAGCTATTTTTAAATACAGTCATGAAATTACTTCTAAATAACCTGAGAAGTTTCCATACATGGCAACCTATTTTTTAGATTTTTTTTTTCAAGTAATGATCACATACCTTTGACGATTTCCTCATTGTCACATAACAAGGCAGCACCAACTTGGAATTTGCTGTAAGGGGCGTAAGCATTCAATCTTGCCTCCGAAGCTGCAGTGGCCAGTTTTTTGATCAATTCATCTGCAAAATAATTTAATCAGGTTGAGAACGAATTCATGTTTGGAATTTAAGGTTTCTTGTTCTTGAGAATACCTGTGAATTCATCTTCCGGGTTCCCGTGCACCATAATTTTTTTCTATCACTTTTCAACTGGTAAATTTTGTCTACAAATTTCGAAAACAGATTAGACATTAGAG